CATTTATGGTTTATCATTAATTTTCATACCTGAGCTTTTATTGTGTGTGTGTGTGTGTGTGTGTGTGTGTGTGTGTGAATTTGATTGGTTTATGACTCTTGAATCCTAATATAAACTCTGAAGCTTAAATAAAAATGATCAAGTTAAACTTGAGGCTCAGTGAGTACAAGTAAAGCTTTAATTTCCATTTGAGCTGTTTGAGGTGGAACACGTTTCCTCAAAAAGACTCCAGTCAAATGCTTGACATTTATCCGCTTTATTTCGGTTTGTGATTTCTCTTTCGTTTTCTCTGTGTGTTACAGTTATAATGCAGAAACCATCTTGCTGATTGGGTTACCTGATTGGCCAGGGGTGCTGGCTGTCAGGTCTAATTTCCTGTTACGTCGTCCTATCAGGGTGGTCTGCTTTGTGTGTCAGCAAGTGCTGTGGTTGTTGTTCCACCAGTAGGACTACGCTGAACTATTTAAACCCACTGCAAATTCTATTACTCTCACACAGCAGAGCATGCCCGCACTCACACGGTCACGCACACATACATGTTGTTGAGTATTTAGTGCAGCGTAGGGACCTTGGTGTAGCAGTGTCAGTGATGGATATGGCAGTAATATCAGGAGTGTTGGCTTTTGCAGAACTCTGCTGTCTGCTACTGGGATCTGTCAGGCCTGTTCTGCTGAGCTCACACATTCTGCTGCTTGCTGCTGTTGCTCTTAGCCATTTCTTTAATCACACACACGTGTGCACGCGTGCATGCCTATGTGCTTATGTGTGTGTTAGAAAGAGAAAGAAAGAATGCTTTTCTGTCTGTGTACAACAATGTCTTATTGGTAAGACACGGCCATTTTTTTAAATTTTAATACAGATCTGTTTTTGCCTTATGCATCTCCATCAAAATGTGGTTCCATTATACCAACGTGTGTAAGAGTTTGTTGCATAATAATCAGTTGTGTTTAAGGACACCTCGTTACCAGCTAAATGTTTTGTTGAGCGAGCAGGTCGCCCCGGTTCAAAATCCCATCCAGGGGCCTTTCTGGGTGGAGTTTGCATGTTATCTCTGTGGTTGCGTGAGTTTTCTCCGGGTGTTCCGGTTTCCTCCGACAGACCAAAAACATGCATGTTAGGCTGATTGGTAACGCTAAATTGCCCCTACGTGTGAGTGAGAGGTGAATGGTTGTTTGTGTTGTTTGTCTCTGTGTCCCTGTGATGGACTGGAGACCTGTCCAGGGTGTCCCCCACCTCTCACCCAGTGACTGATGGATATGGGCACTAGTGACCTCTGCCACCCGAAAAGAAAAAAAGCTGGTAAAAGATAATGGATGGATGTTTTAGTGAAACTTTTAAAAGCTACTTTTTGTTTACTTTATGCTTAAAACTCTTTAAGAAAAAAAAAAACAGTTTTCAGATAAATAATTCCTGCCATATTCATATTTAATAAACTTGATAAACTTTACTTCACCTTTCCATCTAAATAAAATATATATTTTGTTGTTGTAAAGAAGTTTAAAGATTGTACTAGGCTTAAAGAAATGTCATTCCACGAATGAGAAAGAACATAAAAGTGACTTTACCCTTCAGTAAAGTAGAATAAAGAAGCCTTGTATGACACAAAGTGAAACAAAATAAATCAGTGGAACAAGGAAACATTGTACCGGTAGTTCTTTCTCAGAACCTTGAAGTTCTCTGTGACAGTCACACATAAAACAAATGCAATATATGTGGTGAAGTGTCAGCCTTCTTGCACAGATTGCAACATATTTGTGTCGAAGAGACGACGAAAAAGCTGCTGAATGCAGATTTAATACCACAGATATTTAAAGAGAACATCCCTTTTATCTGAGGGAACAATTTGCATTATTCATGCTGTGCCCTCTGAGAGCTCAGGATAGAAGGAAACTGAGACAAAGATGTTTCAGAATAAAATATTGTTGAACAAGCATTCACTGGATTCTAGTTATATTACCTGCAGATTTACTGTGTCTTCAGTGTTTTTCCCACACTCCTTGTGTGTGTGTGTGTGTCAGAGTAACTACATTAACCACTCCATCTTTCATTTTTTTCTATTGCTATTGTTGTAGTTGCCCTCAAGAAGAATCCAGCTATTATATAGCTGTCGATGTGCTGGTTCGGCATGATGCTCACGTATCTGTCTGTGTTCTTTTGTTTCCAGCGTGCAGGGCAGGCTTCTACAAATCGTCCCTCGGCAACATGGAGTGTTCAAAGTGTCCGCCTCATAGCTTTTCCCACCATGAAGGGTCACTGCACTGTAGCTGTGAGAAAAACTATTTTCGAGCTGAGGGGGACCCTGCTTCTATGGCATGTACTCGTAAGTGTCTGTGCTCATTATAAACATGTTTGTTGCTTAAGTCTAGATTTTCTGGTATTTTGATACATGTTCAAAAGAAACCTTCTAGATGATTTAGTGCATTTACATGATTTTCAAATACATTTGAAGACCAGTTTATCCAACAGAATCCCATTTAGAACACAGCTGTATCTAAAAATACCAGTGGGAAACCCGTGAAGCCTTCAGTGGCTTCAGAGAAGCCCAAAAATTCAGCACATATGAAATGTTATATTTAAAATTGTAATTCAATGTTTTTTGTATATATAAACTATTTTAAATATAAATTAAAGTGTATGCTAAATAATCTTATTTTAACTACTTTGCGGTTGAACAAAATAAGCAAACAAAAAACATTCAAGAAACATACTTATCCAATCAGAATATTTAACTTTTTTGTCTCCTGGCAAAAATAGAATGACTTCTAATTGATTAGGACGTCACTGTCATTTGTTCTAAAAAAATAAGGTTAAATATCCCATTTAATTTTATATTGATAATTTTCAAAATTTTATATTGTTTGCATTATAAAAGTTTTGGTTTCATTACATGATGACATTTTACAGAACCACTAAGTTTTGTGTGTTACTGTTAAAATTCAGTGTGAATTATTGAAAATGCAAGTTGTACTGGAACATAAGAGATGAGCTGCAGGGACTTATGGGTAATCTTTGGACAGAAATGGGTGGACTTTTAAGGTTATGTGTCCAGATGGGTTGTTCCTGTTGGTTGTTGTTAAGGTTGTTAGTGACTGTAAAAAAGAATGACACTATAAGTCAGATATTGTACTTGATGGATAAAAAGAGGAGAATATCGTCTTAACATAATATATATTTAATTGCAAAACTGGAAGTAAATTGAGGTAATCGAATTGCGACTCTGTGTCCACAATGTTAGCAATTATTAGGGTGTAGCAATATTCCATCCTAACTGATGGCCAAACTCTTATAGTCACGGTTGGCCACTGACAACTACCAGTTCCTTTTAATGGTTATATTTTCACCGTGGATATTAATTAAACTTAAAGGTCCTCATAAACAAAGTTTAACATTCCATCCATTCAAAATCTTCACCTGCTTTTTTCCTTTCTGGGGTGCAAGGGTCGCTGATGCCAATGTCCAGCAGTGACTATGTGAGAGGCGGGGGACACCATGGACTGGTCTCCAGTCCATCACAGGACCACGTAGAGACAAACAACCATTCACTCTCTCACTCACAGGGACAATTTAGAATTACCAATCAGCCTAACAAGCATGTTTTTATTTTTAAGTTAACACCTTCACTCATTTTTCAAGTTCACTCATTTGTTTATTGTTAAAACAATGCAATACAAGAGAGAACAATAATAGTTAGGATTTATCATTTATGTAAAAATCAAAAAGTTCAAGCATGACCAATATTCCCACTCCTCTTGTTTTTCGCTCTTGCTTCAATTTAATGCAAATGGCTTGCAGATGCAGGTGTCTCTTGCAAGCTTTCCAAAGTGCTTTCACTTTAAAACTATAAATCACTTCATTCCCTGATGGTAGATTATGAATACATCCGTTACAAAGCGGGCTGTGTGGAGAACAGTAGAAAATATAAATCACGGCCTACAGCCACAGACAGAGTCCTAATTAGAAAGACAGTCACGCAAGGTCCCTGTTGTGATTATCTCAACATCATCTTGTCAACTACGCAAATTTCACCTCACTGGGACAGTTGGAGCAACACAAGAGATGGAAATGAATAGATGAGTTGTTAGGAGATAATGATCATGATTATCTCAGGAGAGGGGGTTTTACTGTTAGCAGCCTGATAGGGGCTGTTTCAAGTTGACTCAGGAAATTTGAAAATGTTGGCGAGAATGTTTTAAAAGAGCGGAGAGGAAATTAGAACGTTAAACGCAGACAATTAGAGAGAAACACTCCTGTGCTGTACTTTGTGTCCATTGTGGATGTTTGCATCAGCAGTTTTACCAGTGTAGTTGTTCACTCATAGGAATTCTTTTTTCATCACTTTTAAAGACATCAACACATTCTTCCACACCCCTGCGCCGCCTCCAAATTGGCACAGATATGCAGTGTATAACATGAGCCAGTGCACCTTGCTGAGAGACACAAAGACAGACTGTAGTACTTTTTTTTTCTTCTTCAAAACATAAAGCTTTGGAGCAAAACATTATTCTAAAAGGCCAGAACAAACACCGTTGTTTAATTCAGATGCATTTAAAGTACTAATATTTTATGCACACAACACAAGAAACAAGTTTTCTGAATAACTAGGGATTTTTAAACATAGAAGTATATTTACCAGGTGGCACAGGTGTTTTAGAAATTATTATTATTATTATTATTTTAAATAAGGTTGCATTTATTAAAATATTATACATTTCTGCAAATGTCAGGCTATAGCACTATGCATAAAATAAAAATACATAAAGTAAAAATAAATATTAGATAGGGTACAACATTTATCAGGTTAATTTGAATGGACTTCCTTTGTGCCAAAACAGTTCTTTTTAATGCCATCCATCCATCCATCCATTATCTTTAACCCGCTTCTTCCATTTTGGGTCACGGGGATCGCCGGTGCCCATGTCCAGCAATCACTGTGCGAGGGGCAGGGTACACCCTGGATGGGTCGCAAGTCCATCACAGGGCCACATAGAGACAAACGAGACAAACAACCATTCACTCTCTCACTCACACCTAGGGACAATTTAGAGTTACCAGTCAGACTAACATGCATGTTTTTGGTCTGTGGGAGGAAACTGGAGTACCCGGAGAAAACCCACGCATGCATGGAGAGAACATGCAAACTCCACCCAGAAAGGCCCCCGGACTGGGATTTGAACCAGGGACCTGCACGCTGAGAGGCAGCAGCTCTACCAGTTGCGCCACCATGCTGCCCTCTTTTTAATGCCAGTTTGCTAAAATGCTGAATAGAGTTGTATTCCTCCATTGATGTCTTATTTCTCTGTCCATTTACCTAAACTATGCCCTGTCTATAAATTAAGTGATTTCATCCCCCTCACTTAAACTCCTTTAATTTTCAGGACCTCCTTCTGCTCCTCGCAACGTGATCTCCTCCATCAACGAGACCTCAGTTATCCTGGAATGGAGCTGGCCAGAGGACGCTGGAGGACGAAGGGATATCACCTTTAATGTTGTCTGCAAGCGCTGCCGGGGAGTTGCAGCTAATGGCAGCAACAGTGGGACTCACTGTGAGCCTTGTCGAAGCAACGTTCACTTTCTGCCAAAATCAACAGGCCTCCAAAACACCACAGTAACAGTGGGTGACCTACTGGCCCATACGAATTACACCTTTGAGATCGAAGCGCAGAATGGAGTTTCGTCACTGACACCCAAGATAAGACAATATGCTGCAGTCACCATCACCACTAATCAAGCAGGTGAGATGTCATTGCAGACAATCAAAAATACAAGAAATGCAAGAAAACGTTCACCAAAATGTCAAATGCGCAGCTTTACATTTTATCAAGTTGTTGAAAGTTTGAATGAATGTGCCACTAAAAGCTCCAATGTAATTTTGGGATATCACTTTAAACTATTTACAGAAAAAAAGTAATCTTATGAAGAGAAAAATGTTGAGTTGGGGGAAAAAAAAAAAAGAAGGAAGGAAATATTAATGAGTGTGTGAAGTATTAAATGTTAAGTTAAACAACGTTTTATTTTTTTACCATCTCTTAAATTTAAAGTGTGGATCTTCTTGTTGGGTTGTTCAACTTCTAAGTAAACTTTAGAAGTGAAACTAATAGACACTGACCTTTCTAAGTTATATTAAAGCCTATATTAAAGTAACGTAACTGACTAAGAATCTACAGTCTTTAAAAATGTACTTTCTTTACCAAACGAGTACAAATAAAATTCAAACAACAGCTGTCAAACATATTTTAATGCATGTTCATTGCACTATATTTCTCTATCTTATCATGCAATAACTAATGTTTTATATGTTCTCAACATATGTGCTCCAGCTATCAGCCCTGGAAGTTTACAAGCTGATCCCAGACCACTATTTTCTGGTTTAATGACCAGGATCCAATGACCTCCTCCTATGCAAAAAAATAAATATCTTTTCCTTTTAACAGAGTCTTTTAAAGTGAAGATGGCCTCCTAAAATTCCCATCAATCCTTTAATACAAATATCTCTCCTCACATCTCGTTCTAAGAAGACTAAGGAGGCATGGGGAAATAGTGTTGTGAAATACAAGGGCAAGATAAATTTAACCGCAGTAAAAAGTGCCAAAACCTCAGAAATCCCTGACTCGAGCAGGGAATGCACAAAGGTCTAGCTCTAGTTCATTAACTTAACTTTCTCCCCATCATTCTTCTCCTACACAGTTGGCCTTTGTGTTTAGTGTCAATAGTTCAACAATTTTCATCTCAGTATTTTAGTTTCTCTCTAGTGTTTTCCTCCTTGTCTCTGACTAAACACCAAGCCATTTTTCTTCCTACCTGTCCTTTTCTACAGCCAAACCACGTCTAGTAATTCTCCGTGTATTTATAAATTTCTCAAGTTTTCCTAATGGCCTTTTTCGTCCAAGCCTTAAATTTTGATTTAGCTCTTGAAAGGGTGTTCTTTTTTTTTTTCCTTCAATGAACAGATGGAAGCTTTCCCCAAAAGGTGGTATACAACAGCATCCAACTCCATCACTTTAGTGATGAGAGGCAAATGGAAAAAAAAAATAGATTAATGGTCAGAGTATAGATATCTTGAAAGCTTATAGCATTTTACATGTCCTATTGTTGCAATAAAGAATGCTCAAAGTAAAGGGGATATGTACTGGGATTCAAACTTGCATCATTAATTGTTTTTATGTATTTATTCAAGTATTTTTTTTTTTCACAAAAGTTTGGGATTTGTCTACAGTTGCTGGTTAACCCACCTTGAAATGTGCTATTCCATGATATTAAATAAATAAATAAATAAACAGTGTTGACTTCGCAAGAATATATAAAAAAAATAAAAACATTTTGAGTTGGGCAACCAAATAACAGCAAATAAAAAGTAATTAACAGCAACAACTCTCTCCACTTTCATGGATGGGACTCATTAAGAAAGGCTTGCACTACTTACATGAGTCAAATTAATTTCAGTAACTACTAGCTTTAGTTTTATTGCTTTGGTCTAGTATAAAAAGTTGTACTTTGAAGTGGGAAATGTCCTAAAACAGTTTAGATATTTAAGCCAGAAATGAAAATAAAACTGACTTAGTAACATTTTAATAAAATATCTTAATATAATCCATTTTGCACAGAACAACTAAGTAGACAGATAAGAAATTTAGAATTTGTTGAACAGATTTTTTTAGTTTTTTATTAAATGACTTGTCCTGTAAAAGCCAAAGACATCTACACAACCAGAATTCTGAATATCTTTGTGCAGGTTCATGTGGTGTTTTAGTGGAGGAAGTATATATATTATATATTTATTTGAAATGTAACATATAACTTGAAATCCGATAGCAGTTATAACATTTACCATTGTGAAAGGGTAACTTTATAGATTCACATTGTCTATTGTTTGCTCTGTGTTGTCACAGCTGGGCTTTATTATACATGACAAGTGAAAGACAAGGCCCCGTTTATGTCTTTAAAGTTTTAAAATTGGAATGGGTGGTACATATTTGTGTATGAGTATTAGTTCACATGAGTGCACATACGTTTCAACTTAAGGACAGAAATGACAAAGGATTTATTTCTATGAGGATAAAGGTCAGTGGGGATTAAAATACAGGAATCAAAAAGACAATTCAAATGAGAAAGATAAGCCAGTTTAGCAAATCTTTAGAGTCTTCTTTTAACAAGCATTATAATCTGAGTTGTTAGTCAAGGGGATTCTCTTCAATCTGAATATATATTAGATTTGAAGAAGGCTTATCAACACCAAGAAGCCTGTGTGTGCCAAGAATATTAAAAGGCATCTTAATGTTTTATCAATCAGAAGAGAGAGATCTTACATCACTGATCAGCAAACGCTTACAGATCTACATGACGGAACACACACTTCAACACTTTACCCACGACTTTCAACAGACACACTCACAGTCCCTTTGCTGTCTAACAAATATCTCAGCCTGCAGCTGCACACCTTCCATCAGCCCTCAGAGTTTACAAGGATTAGGTATGTCAGTGCTCCAGTCCCGCCCGTCTACACTTTTTCTCAAACACACACACCCACGCTCACAAATACAGATACACACGCATATAGATGCCAAAGCTGTTAAAAGCTGGATTAAGTGTTTCCCTGGGAAGGAGCAGTGCGCCCTGGCTGGGCTGTCAAGGTGCTGTCAAATAGCTCTCCTCTTACCTTCTTTGCCCTCCACTTGCAACCATTGCTATGCTAATATATGAATTTAATTTAATACATGTTTTCTATCCATCCATCTATGCATCTTCCACTTGTTCCGAAGTCAGGTCATGGGGACAGCAGCTTAAGCAGGGAGGCACAGACTTCTCTTTCTATAGCCACCTCTTCCAGCTCTTCTGGGAGGATTCGAAGGCATTCCTAGGTCAACAGAGACATAGTCTCTCCAGTGTGTCCTGTGTCTTCTCCTAGTTCTCCTCACAGTCAGACATGCCCAAATCACCTCCCTAGGGAGGTACCCAGGAAGCATCCTTACCATATGCTCAGACCACCTCAACTAGCATCCCTCAATATGGAGGATCAGCGATTGTACTCAGAGTCTCTCCCAGATAACTGAATTTCTCACCCAATCTCTAAGGGAGAGTCCAGCTACCCTGCAAAGGAAACTCATTTCAACCACCTGTATCTTGTGTTTAGGTCACTTTCCAGAGTCCATGGCCATAGGAGACAGTAGGAACATAGACTGACCACTGAATAGAGAGCTTCACCTTACAGCTCAGCTCCCTCTTTACCACAACAGATTGATACAAAGTCTGCAATACTGCCGATGCCACACCAATCAATCAGTCAGTCTCATGCTTCATTCTTCCCTCACTCATGAACAAAACCCCAAGATACTTGAACTCCTCAACTTGAGGTAGAACCTCACCCTTGACACAAAGAGAGCAATCCACCCTTTTCCGACTGAAGACCAGCACCTCAAGTTTGGAGGTGCTTATCCTCATCTCAGCCACTTTACACTTAACTGCAAACTGCTACAGTGAGAACTGAATATCATGGCGCAATGACATCAACAGGACTACATCATCCGCACATATCAGCAATGGAATCCTGAAGCCACTGAAATGGACTCCCTCCGCTCGCTGGCAACACCAATACATTCTGCCCATGAAAGTTATGAACAGAATATGTGACAACGGGCGGCCCTGGTAGCATCCAATTCTTACCCTGAATAGGTTAGACTTACTACTGGCAATGTGAAACAAACTCTTGCACCACTTATATAGGGACCAAACAGCCTGTAGCAACGTGTCCCCAATCTCATTCTCGCAGAGCACCCCTCACAGTGTACCTCAAGGAACCTTGTTCTTCTTTGTGTGTACAAGTGTTTTGAATCACTCATTGTCTGTCCTGACCCCAGGACAAATCTGCCTTGAGAGACCCTGTCAGGGGCAATTACAATTGCACCCAACAGCATAGCGCCTAGGTTCATTCAGGTAATATATTTTTAGGGCGCGTTCCTAGGTAGAAAAAAAGTTATCCTATTGATAATTTCAATATGTTTCTTATATCTTATATAACAATCTCAATTTGAATGAATAAAGTTTTATTTCTATATGTCCAGATGTGTGTGTTATAGAGTTCTAGTTCTTTAGTTGTTTTAAGACAACAGCAATTTACTATTGCCTGAGCTTCTTACCAAACTGACTTTATGCTGTCTTCAACAGGGTTTCTTCAGGACAAAATTTTATCTAATTTTTATTTAATTTAAGTACAATTTTCTAAGTTGCTGAATAATGTGTTTCTAATCCCAAGCAATGCCATTTATGAACCAGCATAATGCCATAAGCTATTTGAAGATGCTTTCCAAAGACAGCAGTGTGTCCTTAAGTCCCAACCTAATCAATGTTTGACCAGTTTTTAGGAACATGACAGGGCTGGTATACTGTATCAGTTTTACAGTTGTGCCTCTCACAGAAACAGAGAGTGACAACAAATTAAGTACTTGGCGATAGACTTGTAGAGAAAAAAAATAGAAGGGGAAGAAAACAGGGAGGAGAGGAACTTGAATCTGCCTCCAAGCGACCTAGACTCAGTAAATCATTACCACCATAAACCACAGAGCCAATAAAAAGCACAGCCTCACCCCACTGTCAGAGCCAAAGTGAGAGGAGGGGGAGAGGAGATGTTACAGGGGGTATAGAAACAGATTCTCCCCATCTGGATTCATTACAGGAGAAAAAATAACTTCCCGTGGAAATACACACAAGTACGGAATATGTGCACACACTCAGACACATTCTGTGGCTATATAATCATAATCAAGAGAGGCTTGAACATTTCAAAGACAAACATGTTTTTTCCTGTGGTCTAATAAAATTAAAAGTCGATGCCTCAGATGCTGAGCTGGCCCCAGAGCTGCTTGGCAATTAGAGAGCAGTAAAAGAGGGAAATGCGAAAGAGAGTGAGGAGAGAAAGGAACAAACTGAGGAAGGAGAGCAAGGCTTGATAGAAGTAGAGATGGGTTGAAATACTTGATTGGGACCATGTGAACTCCCCGAGGTGAGGCGGTGCACGGGTGAAGGTTTGGCAAAGAAAACTGGCAAAAAGAGGAAGCACCAAACCAAAGAAGGGGAGTGCAGAGCCAGATAAGAAAATAAAAGTTCACATGGTTTTAAAAAGAAAACATGATGTTTCCCAAAAAAATGTGGTTGGAGAATAGAAAGTAAAGTATTTGCTGAAGGGCAAACAACTGCAACAATGTTAAAATTGGCTTCTTTCATAAAATGTTATTTCTCATGAAATTAATTGGCACTGGACCTATAATAATAATAATAATAATAATAATAATAATAATAATAATAATATGTATAAGGGCAGACACAATCAGAGAAAAGCATAGCCTTACTATTTTCTTAACATTAATCATTAATTAACTTTAATTATATAGTATTTACATAATTCACCTTGTTGTTTTCAAAATGTAAAACACCTTAAAATCATTTTCATTGTGCATGATTTCATAAAAATAATCAAATAGTCAAATAGATTGAATTACATTAGCATAAGAGAGTTAAAGTATAAATTTTGAAAAAAATGTTGCTATGATGATTGTACTATTTCCTGAGCTTCTATGTGGGATACATTTATTTTCCTTTCTTTTGTTTAATACACAAGTTATTTTATTGTAACTCTACAGTCTTGCTTCCCTTCACATCCTCATTCCACTGACTATAACTTGATCCCACAAGGCAGCAAACTGAATTAGATGAACAGGTACTATGAAAACAATGCCCGGGATTCAACACCAGGGACTGAAGAAGCACTGAACCTTATTTTAACAGAGTTTTCTCCTCTCTCTCTTCCTCCTACACTCTCTGTCAATCTCCATCTCCTGCCCAGCTCCCTCTCAAGTAACAGTGATCCGAAAGGAGAAGACGTCTCGAAACAGTGTCTCCCTTTCCTGGCAAGAACCAGAAAGACCCAATGGTATCATCCTGGACTATGAGATTAAATACTACGAAAAGGTTTGTGCTGAATGTATCACACTCAACACTTTATTTTTTGCAATACAAATGTGTGTGACTTGTTAATTAGTAGTGCAGGCTTTAGAGTCGTTTCTTGCTATTTTAGTTTTACATTTTCTGAATGTATACTCTAAGTGTTATGAGATCTAATGAATACAGTTTATTTAATTATCTTTAAGTCAGAATTCAGTTCAAAGCCCATCTTTGTGTTGAGTTAGTAAAAGATAATTGCTGTGAGATGTACAGTTTATACCTCTTGTATATACAACCAGAAAGACAGGTTTGATCCCCCTGCCATGCCCACATGTTGCAGTGTCCTTGAGCAAGACATCTTACCCCTAACTGTTTCCCAAGTATCTAAATACTATAATTTCTGGACTATTGAGTGCACCCAAATTCAAGCCGTGCCAACTAAATTTAAACAATACTATTAATTTTGTACATATATAGGTTGCACTTGTGTATAAGTCGCAGGTGTTCGTGTTGTAATATGAGACATTTACACAGAAAGATTTTTTTAAACTTTTGATTAAATACGTATCAGTAACATACGTACAGTAAATGTTTTTTTTTTTAACAGTGCCTGTAACACGGCTGGTTTAAAAAAAATACTGTAGCCTACCAGGAAGTCATTGATTGCCATCAGGATCTTCCTCCTGCAGAGGATTAAAAAAAAACAAAAAAACTGCTCCTCAGTCAGCATCCACTGGCAGACTGGAGCAGAAATTGCTCTTTGCATGCCGACAGTTGTGGTAAACGATTTCTTGCCACCAGTCATCCAAGCCTTTCACCGAGCTTTGAGTTTCATGGTAATACACGATTCACACTGATATTGAGTGGCATAAGTTCCCCCTCCCTGTTCTTTCCTTCACTCCTCGTTTCATTGTTCCACTGTGACCTGTTTGGTAATTCCATCGGTCAGATTTTTTAAAATCTTTATTTACACAGGTAGCCTCGTTGAGTCACGAGGACCCGCCCCCC